AACGGCTAAAGATGAATGTAATACTCACACTTTCCAAACAAGAATAGCAACGGCTAAAGATGAATGTAATACTCACACTTTCCAAACAAAAAATACCAACGGCTAAAGATGAATGTAATACTCACACTTTCCAAACAAGAATAGCAACGGCTAAAGATGAATGTAATACTCACACTTTCCAAACAAAAAATACCAACGGCTAAAGATGAATGTAATACTCACAGTATCCAAAAAAGAATACCAACGGCTAAAGATGAATGTAATACTCACACTTTCCAAACAAAAATAACAACACAACGGCCAGGTATGAATGTAATACTCATATTTTTCAAACAACATTTTGTTTATTTATTGTTAAACACAAAACTACACAACGGGTTATCTGTGCACTCCCACCGCGATAATAAAAACCTGATTTTTAGCGTTATAAGCCCTCGGACTTACCACTAAGTCACCGGGGTGGGTGGGGGCAATATTCAAGAACAGCGACCGGTGGTGATTGCAATACTGACACTTTTCAAACAACAATAACAGTAGCCAGAGATGGCCAGTACGATATTGATGTTTTTTTACTTTCAATTCGAGTATTTTAACGATAGTAAATGTCATATTGAAAGGTATCACTGAATATTTTCAGAATAAAGTTCAAACGTTTTTCATGTCAGCAGACTTTAAACCGCCTCTGTCATTCCACGCTTCTTCCGGATATAAAAGCTTCAGCGGCTTTATGGTCCATTGTTGCTGTAACAGAGTTAAACGTTTTAATCCTGTATTATTTCAATATATATATACATTATCTAATTTTCAGAAATTTTGGTTTTGTTTTGAATTTCGCGCAAAGCTACACCAGTGTTATCTGCGCTAGCCGTCCCTAACTTAGCAGTGTAAGACTAGAGGGAAGGCAGCTAGTCATCACCACCCACCATCAACTCTTGGGCTACTCTTTTACCAACGAATAGTGTGATTGACCGTCACATTATAACGCCCTCACAGCTGAAAAGGCGAGTATGTTTGGTGGGATGGGGCTTCAACCCGCGACCCTCAGATTGCGAGTCGAGCGCCCTAACCACCTGGCCATGTCGGGCCATTTTCAGAAATAAAAACACTGGATGAAACTTTCATATGGAACTCTGAAATAAAACCAATTTCCAAATTATCTTTATAGTCATGACAAAAACAAACGCAATCCATTAAGCGTAAGCATTGATCTCTCCGATATCTATATAGCAGTACAGGAGCGCTCGCAATCGTAACATTAAAGCTATATCAAAGTAAAAAGTGTTCATTTTACAGAAAGTTCTGATAGAAATGGAATATACTTCTCATGTTACAGTGATTTTAGATTGGTTTTTATCACAGAAAGAAGCTGGCCATATTCTATGATCTTTGCAGTCGATCAATAACCACATGACAGCCATCAACTGCATACGTGCTTGAAAAAGATGATTGCAGTAATTTTTTATAACACTTGTTAACAGGAGCTTGGGTACTGCTGTCACTCGATCCCTCGTCACGTGCTGTAATCAACACGCTCATCCACAACGACCATTTTCACTATACACTAGATTAACTGTGTTGATAAACACGCGCCATTTTCTTCGTTCGAAAAATCTTACATATGACGTATTCAAGTCATTTCCTTTCTGATTAAAACTATATCAGAGTGCTAAGATTATCACTTTCACATGTATCCTTTATATAATTTACTTCCCTTGCTGTTTGGTGATAATAATTCATACTGACATCAGTAATAGGCTATCTTTACTGGTTGGTGATCATACTTCATACTGACATCAGTAATAGACTGCCTTTCCTGTTAGGTAATTACACTTCGTACTGACATCACTAATAGGTTGCCATTTCTATTTGGTGATCATACTTCATACTGACATCTGCAATAGTCTGCCTTTCTTATTTGGTGACCAATACTGACATCACTAATAGGCTACCTTTACTGTTTGGTAACCATAATTCATACTGACATCAGTAATAGGCTATCTTTACTGGTTGGTGAACAATACTGACATCACTAATAGGCTACCTTTACTGTTTGGTAACCATAATTCATACTGACATCAGTAATAGACTGCCTTTCCTGTTAGGTAATTACACTTCGTACTGACATCACTAATAGGCTGCCATTTCTATTTGATGATCATACTTCATACTGACATCAGCAATAGTCTGTATTTCCTATTTGGTGACCAAACTTCATACTGACATCATTAATAGTCTGCTTTTTCTATTTGGTGACAATACTTTCGAATTGAACTGAAATGTTATGAACTGTAAAGATGCGAGTCTACCTTTACAAAATGTTCATTTACTATCGTAGAATGAATAACCAATCATTTGTACTTCAAATCACGTGAGTGACTATTAGATGTATGATTTACATGACAATAAAATGAAGTAGGTGTTTATACCACTAGTTATGCCTTTTCATAGCTAAAATACTGTAAATTCCTTAGTTATTATAATTAAGTACGGTAGTACTTAATAGTAAGGATCGTGATTAAACAAAATGACGGCCATAAAAATCGCCCGTTTAAAACCATCTTTAAAATGTCTGGATATCAACAATGACTATTTCACAGTATTGGCTGAGCAAAACTAAAGCTTATTGTACATATGAAGCCGCCTAAATAGCTATATACGTGTTTATGTAGTGAATCAAAATTTCACTATTTTAACGAATTTTCAACTAAGTAAGTAAGTAAG